GGGGGGTAAGAGGAAGTTATCGCAGCGAGCGGTGGCCTCAGCAGGACCCGCTGACCCGATTCATCATTATTTTTATTATTTTGAATCATTTCCATCGAGTGCGTCGACACTCGGGCTTGACAGTAAAACCTGGAACATAACTCAGAATCCATGTCCATCCAAGCATCTCCACAAAACAGGTTCGAGACAAATATTGGGGCAAATTTCAGAACGCCAACGTCACTCAAGATTTCCATTTGGATAATCGTATCCAAGAGAGTCCAGCATCAAGAAAGCCGACGCGCCACTTGATGACCTCTGACCTCATTCTTTCCACATGAAATCATTCCCGAGAGGATCATTTCCAGTTTGATACTCAATTGCCGTTTTTTTTTTTGACCTGATATTTGAGACATTGAGAAAGCATGCTGCTTTTTGGGCATTTGAATTCAGAAAATGGTCACTTTAAATAAAAGGAAAAAAAAAATCGGATTCATTATTTTGTGAGACATGGAAGCCCCACAGAAGGATATCATTCCATTTGACCATCAGAAGGTGAGATTCAGAAAAACCTGAAAGCAGTATTGTAGGTTTATTTCCCCTTCAACGCGCTTTTGGCATAAAATGCTGATTCCCATTTTTTTTTTTAATGTTCAGCAGAGAAAATATATACTTCCTTTACGGAATGAAGGGAAAAAAAATAGATCAAGACTATTTGAAAAAAAAAAAATAATCCAAATTTTGCATCCTCCTCCCCTCGGGATTCACACAGGCTTTATTGGTGACCGACAATATGTTGGAGCTAATTGAAAATCAGGTACATTGAGAAGGAAAAAAAAACATTGCAAAATGCTGTATATGCAAACGGCGAGCGGGATGAAGCGCTTGACTGACCTGTGGCCCCATGGCGGCGTACCCCGGGTGCGACTGGCCCACTTGACTCTGCTCCGTGGGACTGCTGTTGATGTCTGACTGGAGTGAACTTTCGCGGGCCCCTGCCGTGTTCCATGTCACATGTAAAAAGGAAACAAAAAGAGGTCATGCGAGTGTGTGTGTGTGTGTGTGTGTGTGTGT